TAGCTAACCGATTATTAATATAATTAATTAATTGAATTTAATTAAGAAGGTCAGAGTCCATGCCTACTTGGTCATCATATGACTGGTGGAAAGATAAATTTGGCTGATTGAAAAATATAGACAATTTATAGCAAGTAATAAATTATTAACAATGTTTAACTGGCTAATTAAAGAATTGATTAATTATTCATTTATTAAAAATAATTAGTTTCTAAATTTAATTACGCAATACAAATTTAATTCTCAGTCCTTCATTGCCTAACTCTACATTTGGTGACGCTAATTTTCACTCATCCATGCCGAGTTTGGCGATTCCGGCCACTTTCCCTATTTCGGTCGTTTTGGCAAGCCCACCACGTGGATGGGGCTTATCAGGGCGTCGTTTCATGCCATAACCACAGTCGCATCGTCTCGCCCTGCCCTGCCCCGATTGGTCTGTCCGGCAGAGCAGGACTCTCCCGACGCAGCACTGACTCGCCTCGTGGCCCAGACTGGCAATTAGAAGTCGGGCAAGCGCACACGACGAACAGCTCTCTTTTGGCGTGTCCGTCGCGTCCGTCTCGGCGGACACGAGGCAGCCGGACTGGGGCTTAATTGCAGAATAACTGAATTAAACAATCAGTATTGTGCACAAGTTGGCCAACTGTTACTACGTGTCTGCTGCTTTGATCGTCAATTTAGTTATTCTGGCGCGTCGGACACACGCATCTGCCCACAACTCGAGGACGACAGAGCAATCATCTATTTTACCAGCCGGAAGGGGTCCATTCTGTTCTGAGGATGGCACCGTACTCGGACGCCATTTGAAGAGGAAGACGATCTTGGGCCTTGGCCGATCTCCAACCAGATTGATCGGTCGAGGCGAGCTAAAAATTGCTCGTGCCTCATTCTTACTTTATAAGTAGTCTTTCGAGACTATCAGTAGTACAGTTGTTTGAGAAAGCGACGCGATGTCAAATGTCATGAAAGCTACAGCTCGTCTCATGTGATTGTGGGAAAATTCAACTACCAGTCCCCTTAACATCGTAACTCACGCCGTGTAAGTACAATTCATCTAATTGCATGACCTCGTTTTCCCTACTCGGGCAAGTTTCCAGGACAACCCACCTCGAAGAAGGGGCCTCATTTGGCGATCTGTTAAATTGTTGCTGTGCCAGTCACGGGCATAGAGCCGTGGAATTTGCCGATTTCCTGGTCGTCCGCATCCTCAGTGAGGCGGTTAGCTCCAGGTTACGTGGAAATAGGTGGCCAAGGTTCGAAAGAAAAATCCTCTGTTGAATGAGAAAGGCTCCAGTTCAGCTTGTTGGCAAAAGCAAGCCTCTGTATCACCTAGCAACTAACTGCATCTATTCACTTTAATCCACATTAGAGAATGGTTAAAGTCACTTTAACTAGTGCTGGCTTGCCTGAAGAATCCATCTCTTTTTTCGGTAGCTATGCGTCCAAGCCCTAAAAAGCTCTGATTACATAAATGGTGATTATAAATCAATTATATATATATATATATGTATATATATACGGAATATACTGTACAACATATCTGGTCATATTTCACTCAAGAGTCAACTTTATACATTCTTAATGCATAATTTATGCTCTCCATTATTTTAAGTCTCTCTTCACTGAGGACATTCATATTAATCACTCTCTACCAACCTCGAATATATACTCAAGAGCCAAGAATTGGGAGATAAGATAGAATCCGCAACTTTTTCAGCACAGCAGCTATTATATTGTTAACAATTTAGCCTGGCAGGTAATCGGGACAATGTCAAGTCCAGCTTCTATTCGAAGAATTGTTTAGCATGCGAGACTATCGAGTTGGCCGGGAATTCATGGAGATATTGGCCGATACCAGTCCGGCTCTCCAATCGCCAACGCAAACTCCTCCTTAATCCGGTAGCTGTGGTTTCTTGGGACTTGACCTTGGAAGTGTCCACGGAGGAATGAAAAGAAAACTCGAGTTTTCTAACCAACTTCACAATTGTCACGCCTAAAATACGCATACCTACATGCATTTATTTATTTATTTATCCATTGAGCCATCTTCCTATGTCTTCGTGATCGATTCAACAGTCTATAATCTGCAGGCCAGGCAGACTACAATTTTTACTCTTACCAATTGGAGATAGTAATAGAGATTACTGCTTTTTTGCATCATGCTCGCTTTTTTCAACTAATGAAAACCCTTTTGCATAAATTTGGTCATTTGTACTGTACTCTTGCAACTTGTATCTTGGGGAACATCTGCTCAAGTGTAGGCCGTTATTTGCCCATTTTGGCCCATAGAACTCGACAGGGCAGATGAACTCCCAACGACCTAAACGTGGCTCACATAATTACATGCAAATCGACTATTTTGCGCATACTGAAAGTTCATCTGCATGTCCCGCAAATCAGTATAGGCTGAGGCAAAGGCACTCAAATTACTGTGGTGGGGCAGAATAAAGGTGAATGGAAATAATATATGGTGAATTAAGCTGAAGCACAATATAATATGACTTATGGTACTAAAATATGACAGAAGTTTGTGAAAGTGGTAATATAACAGGGAGGGGAGGACTCGAAGTCTTAATAAATGTATTCGTATTTATTATTATTATTATTATTGTATGATAAACAGGTTAAGAACATTACGCTACAACATTGTTTATAAATTAGACTAAATATATTATAAAGAAGTGTATAATAATATTCAAATGGAGGGCAGCGAAACTCTTGGTTAATAATGATACTGTAATAAAAACTGGTGAATATTTAGGTTTAATGTAATTAATGAGGAAAAATAGAAATGCATTATAGGGAGGGATCCAAACGGAAGGTTAGAGAATGAAATATAGTGGAACACATAAAGTTTTAATAAAATATGGGGCATTTAAGCTCAGGCAGCTGAAGTATGATAGAAGAAATTATCATAAAATAATACACTTGATAGAAATGAAGATGGAGTGAGCTCCGGGCTGTCCATCAGCATAGTCTAAATAAGTCATGATTAGCTGATTATGAGATTGTCTGCGTCTCTTAAAAGCTCGCTGTGCTCACAATATTTATATATATATATATAGATATTTATTTATTTATTAGATCTATAACCTAGCCATAAATATTAATGGAGTCTTAATAATAAATCTATTCAACTTGAGTCATTTTTTCGTTTTTAAGTTGGCTTCTGAGTTAGTAGCCTTTAAATGAGGGCTGTAATTACTCTAGTTCGTTGAACTTAATAAAGGATAAGTAAATCAAATGTCCCACAATTATATGAATAGGCCTCACACCCACACATGCAACATTTAATGGTGGGCAAAGTTGACTACGAGTCCTTTATCAGCTAAAAACAAAATAGGCTGAATACAGATCTTAGGTTGATTTAGATGATGGAAAACTTGACGAAGGACTGAAGTGCCTCATTATGCAATTAAAGTTCCGTTGGAATTTCTTTCAAAAAGGTCTCATTCGAGAGGAACTGTAGTCTCGATCTTGATCAAGTCTTATCATTACACCCACAAGGGGACACTAAAGTGGGTGGTGTGGGTCAAGACTTTACGATGTCTCTCTTTACAATCGGATCAGAGTACAGCGGAAAACGGTTCACAACCGAAACAGCCTGATCCATTCAGAAATAGTTTATAGTCTTCAGCTGGATAATTTAACATGAATAAAATTCGTCGCATGTGTTGGTAAGTCCACCATTGATACGAAGGACCTAGTCTGAGCAATGCTTCCTCAAAAAGTAGGTTTATTTCTAGTTCCTGGTACAATAAGAGTCTCATAGTTATACAAGAGGGCTTTATAAACTACCAGTAGATCTGATATAATAGCTGCATTCACCCTATTTATCGTATTTGAGTAGAGTTTTGAGACTACCAGTAAACCAGTCCTTCATCACCTTAAACTAAATTGAGTGAATACATCTAATATATTTGCTTAATTACCTTAAAACGAAATGGGATGTATACATTTAATATAAGCTACTTATAGTCATAATAAGTAAGTATCACCATTAACCATATCCCTCGACTAACTCTATAACGATCCCATTAGATTCGCTTAAGTGTCTTATTCAGATTAATTTAAATTAAAGTAAATTGTGAGCAAATCCAACAATCAGCTATTCACCTTTTTACAAATCTGCTACAAATGCCGAAATCTCTCCTCTATAACTAGCAATAGCCCAACTGACATTAAAATTGATTTGACCCGGCGGATAAATCCGTTGCAATAAATCTGGTAACTATAATCTCCGGGCACTTGTGAGCCTTAAACTGTGGGCCAAAGCAGCCGTTGAGGGGGTTAGTCAAGATTTCTGACAAGCTTTTTGGAGACTAAGACAAAATCACGTTTGCAGCTTTGGGGTAGCGAGACGAGATCGGGACAATTGTGCGAAGAACGGTTACTTTGGCAGAGTATCGAATTATCCCAGACAGTCATGGGTTCCACAGGCCAGAGATGAAGAGAAAGCGGACATGTTCGGTCATGAAATAGCACATTACAGCATGCATTTACTTTCTTAATGGAGTTCAGGAAGACAAAGTTTTTAATTTGTATTATTTTGACTTATTAAATTATCCGTTATTATGGCAAAGCTTTGTGCAACAACCGTTGTGGGACTTTATAAGTCCCTAGCTTAGAGAGCCCCTGTTCGACTGTTGCAAGCAGGTTGGGAAGAATGGAAAAAAACAAAAATGTCACGTTATTCCGTATCTATGCCTAGTACAGACAGAAAGTCTATCGATTGCCTAAGCGACCCCAAAGAATGAATATTACCACTTAGCAGTTAGTGAAGATTTCACGTTAACATTTGCATTTTGCCGTTCTTACTCCATTGGGACTGATTTTTTTATTACCTCATACCTTTCAATAGCCCCATTCGGCACGTTGTATTTCACGCTCTACCATGACACCACGAGCAACCAACTTCATGTGACGATTCACAAAGCCAAGGTGAGAAGCTCATTTGTTAGTAGATTGCACATGAAAACAATTGTTAGCCTCATAATTAGCCATATTTATCTTGGTTTGGCTGAAAACTTGATGCTTTTGACAATAAAATATTACAAAACCCGCTTGTGGCAACATTGCTGGATCGGTTTCTATGGAAGTTATGCTTTGACTGGCTCGGTTTAATGTAGCATGGAATTGGTTCGACTCCGCATTTGTCACTTTATCGTGTTTTCAAGAGAGCCACAATCAAAACACCTCGTTCGACCTCCTCTGCCAGAGTGGTCATGCTATTTTTCAACTTTGATACATTCCTAGAAGTTTTTTTGGCAACGCAGAGGATGCCGGACTAGGCCATGCCAATGCTCCTCAGCGAAAGAGGTCTGAGATTTGAGTCAGCATGACTGATGAATTAGGGAACAATCCTGGATGAATTGCGACATGATCTTCCATTTCGAAGGACAAGTTAGTTAGAAGGGATTCGTGGAATGGTCTTATCTGAACTCGAAGCAGCATTGACTGGCGTCGAGTGAAGACTGTGGGATTGTACAGACAAGCCTTCAGCTCCCTGTCCAGTGGGACCAATTCATGAATTGCTTACAGCCAACTTTTCATTTAAAACAGAAAGTAATGTATGCTACAATTGGTCAACAAAGAATTTTTCGAAACACATTTTTACTTAAAATTTTGCAAGTACGTATGCTTTCTACTCCTACCTCAGATAGCGCTATTGCCAACATTGCTGAGAGGGGTCTTTACTCGCCTACCAGTTTTAATTTTGTTTTAGAAATAGACAATTATCAAAAAAGAAAAATAAATTATAATATAATAATAATATACTAAATAATTAACATATAAGCAAATATTTATTTCATTCATAATATATTAAAGTTTATGTTATTATTTATATTGTCCAACATTCATTTATTCATCCCATATAACTGGTCATTTGGATTTCCATATCGAGGAAAAGCGTTCGGTAAAGAGCTTCTAAGGTCGACCCCATCAGAAGACGGAGAATGTGTTTGGCCAGGCGTCAATCGGCTTTAAAGAGCATTCTTGTTGGTGTTGTTTTTGAGGAAATATTCTTCGATACTTGCGAGAATGTATTAAGCTATCAAAGACATCAACAGAGCAGACATTTACTTGAACTTTTCCCTTCTAAATTGGCTTTCGA